TTTGAATTTTGAACTAAAATTTATTAAAGCAACAGAAAAGCATAATTGATGTACCAGTCCCACATAAGAATCATATGAAAGTTGAAGAAGATAAGGAAATCATACGATTGTCGATACGTGGGATGTTGACTCAGTAATTATTGTTGCTAAGTATCCTGGTCGACAATGGGTCTGTTATTGTAAATAGTTAATTGTTATTCATAAAGTATATAGCATACAATAAGTACATCAGTTATTAGATGTACTGCTGGGTTTGTCAATTAATCCCTTGTATGCTGGTATATGAGACAATAGAAAACACATTGTGACTCGCGTATATCTGCGCTCCCGCATACCACGGATTAAAGGTAAGTATTTCTCTACTTACATAATTACTTATTGAAAACCGGTGCCATGTTTCGTCAATTTTAACAATTCATGCTTGTCGTGCTTTTTTCCGTCTTTGCCTTTATGCAAGGCAAAGACGGAAAAAAGCAAGACGACAACTTGATGAGCGAGACGACAACTTGATGAGCGATATATTAATAACATTTTTTGTAATTCATCAAAAATGAATACATACAGTCAAATTTCGAACAACGATACGACCAAAACAGCCGAGAATTTAAAAAGAATAATCGGTTAATTCTGGACACAAAAAAAACAAAATGTACATATTTACGTCTGTGGACTGACTACTGATCCTTTGTGGCGCCAGTGCATGGAATGTTTGCAAGGCCCACAAGGGAAAAAGGCGTGAAGAGTGAAGATTAAATGTGTAATAAACAAAATAAAAAGTTATCGCATGACTTATGCAGTAAGTGTATACTTGTCTGAGTTCCTCGTTGCCAAACAACTTGAACTTTTGATAGCGACATGTTTCGAGTGAATCTTCTCCACTCATGACTAACCGATTTCCTTTATATTACACATACTAGCTTTTACCCGCGGCTTCGCTCGCGTCACAAAAGGATAAAAAATAGCCTATGTGACATATACCAATACACACAGCGCCATCTATACCAATACTTTTGTTTTTCCTCGGGAATATCAAATTTTTCCAGGTTAAAAGGTACCCTATTATTTAATCCGGACTTCTAACTTTACGTCTGCAAAAATTCAAAGCAATCGGTTTAGTAGTTACGGCGTGAAAGTGGAACAAACAAACAAACTCACTTTCCGATTTATAATATTAGTAAGGATATACTTACAAATTGTTCTTGTTATTCCATGCACGCATTGTTATTTATACTAGCTTCTGTAAACAGCTTTTAGACTGCATTCTTTTTGCTTACTGATTCCTGCGACCAATGTCCTAGTAGCTAGTGATAGTGGGTAGAAAAGTTGCAAAGTGACCACGCCTAATAAAATTACTATCTAAGTCGTAATTGTATAATCAAAACACCAAGTAATTCGTCATTAAGTGCATTGATACAGTCTATTTACAGCAGAGTAGTTTTTACTTTTTAATTTCAATATCAAGATAGTTCATAGCTTAGTACTTTATATTATTGTGTCTCCGAAGGACAGAATACGCGTGACCTATCATTCTATTCTTATAAACTTTCATATCAATAAAATTTTGAATATATTTAACAAAATATGCGCATGTATGTATAGTTTATGTAAACACAAACGATGAATCAATAATGGTCCTTACGTAACACATCTAGGCTTTTTACTGGTGCCTAATTGTTGAGGTTTACATCATAAGTGTATGTGTGTGTGTGTGTGTACCTATTATGAAAATTATCGCGGGAAACCTAACGGGTAACCGGGGCTCCGGCTCGACGTGCAGGAGAAGGAACGGGGTGGTTTTTAGTCAGTAAGAGTCTGACACTCCCTTCCGCCTCACCCAGGCGGGAGCAGTCATTCGATGATTTTCCCCCCTTAAAAAAAAAAATTATGAAAATTATCAAGGATTATTTAATTTACTACTCATTAACATGCTGTAGACCAAGCAAGTCGAGTGGTCGTAAGTGCGATTGCCGTGCCAGAAGTCTCAGGTTCGATTCAGGCAACACACTTTGTACTCATTCTGTGTGTGTCTGTGGGTGCTGATCACCTCCTACCAGGTAATCTACCGGCTAAGTAGCTTCTCATTCCCTGAAAAAGATAGTTAGTAACTTACTTAGTAGTTATCGTCGCAAAACTATCTGTGACAAATTGCGCAGCAGTCAAGATCAAATGTTTGAATTTGTGTAATATGGTGTTATCATGATCATAAATATATAGACGTCCACTGCTTAACACTCACCACTTGCTTACATCCTTCAATGACTCCTCGCGACTGTAACGCAGGTTTTAAACTAATACTAATAATATTGATGTTAATCAGGTAGCCAAGATTATCCATCAGCAACTTGCTTTGCACTATCGACTTGTTGATTATCCATCAGCACCTTGCTTTGCACTATCGACTTGTTGAGTCTTTTAAGTGTGGGTGAGCCATGGTTCGACACGAATGGACCGGCTCGACCGGTGATACCACGGCTTCACAGAAAACCGACGTGAAGCAACGCTTGCGTTGTGTTTCATCGTTGTCTTCCCCAATCTCCCCAATTCCTGAATCCCCAACGATCCTCAAACTCCTAATCCCCAAAAAGCCGGTAACGCACTTATAACGCCTCTGGTGTTCCAGATGTCCAGGGGCGACGCTGATTACTTACCATCAGGTGATCCGTCTGCTCGTTTACCGGCTTATGCCATAAAAAAAAGTCTGAGGTACCGTACTACAAGTAAGTGCTCGACGCAGTTCTGAAAAATGACCATATCACATTGTACTGGTACAGTGTATCATCACTGACAGGACTATTGTAGCCAATAAACCTGACACAGTGGTGATAGACCGACAAATGCGCCGCACAATGATAATCGATGTTACCATTTCCCATGACCAGAACCTTGTGAAAGCTGAGAAAGATAAACAAATAAAATGTCTGGACTTCGGTCACGAGGTTGTCGACATGTGGAGTGTGGATTCGACTATCATTGTGCCGATAGTCGGGTCGGCCAATGGGGTAATCCCTAAAAGCCTCGACATTCATCTTAGTAGGCTAGCATTAGGTGGAGGGCTGATACACAAGGCAGGTCTCCTTGAAACGGCACGTATCGTGAGGTGGTTTATTTCTCTGGAGCCCTAACCACCGATAGCTTGGACCATGCCCCCGCTTCTGGTCGGCTACTATTTATATGTTTTTAAATATTTATTTATGTATATAGGATTTAAAAATGTACTTTTAGAGAATTTTAAACAAATATATGGGACGTAAATGCAGAATGAAAGTTATAGTTTATATCAGAATTAATTAATTTTATATTGCAGTAAACTTGGTTTTAAAGAGACATATATTTTGTAGCCAGTGCGTGTTTCAGACGTAATTACTTTATTTGATTAATAATTACATTAACATTACAAAAGTTTGCTTAGTCGCTTGATCTGGTCGCAAGCAACTGACATACATGTTTCGAGTTTGAAACTTGGACATGATGCAGTCGCAAGAACTCCACGAACATAGTCAAACCCCAGTGACTTCTAGATCAGCAGGTTGGACCTTCATCCATCTTTATTCGTTCCCTGCGACAGTAATAAAGTCGTCTGGCCATCTCGTGTGTGGACGTCTTGCATTGTTGTATCCCAAACAGCTATTGTTTTCTTAGATTTTAAATATCTTAAATAATATTTTCTTACGTATACGTACGTAAGAATATTTTTAAAAACATAAATTATACATATCCTAAATTTAAAATAACATTTATGATTGATGTAGCACATAGTATTGATTAGGATAAGATCAAAATCGAATTATATTCGAACTCTTCAGTTTCAAATTAGTATTTTTTAAAGATGTAAAGTAAGTTTTATAAATCATACCTGCATTCCACTTGTGACTTTAGTCGCGTCCTGACCCAGTAGGAAAATGGGGAAAAAGAATCCGGTGCTATTTTCTGAAAAGTAAATTTTCTAAAAGTAAAATAACCAAATAAGTTTCATTGGCTATTCAATGCAAATAAACGAAAATGAAATGCTTCACCATTATACAGGGAAAACTGTTTTACTGAAGAATGAAAAATCATTTTCATTTCAACTTAATCCAAAAGATATGTATATGAGAATCCATGACTGTAATGATTTGATAGACTGTTGACAAAAAAATCTCTAGTAACAAAGTGTTGCAGCACATTGCAAGTGTCTAATGTAGTTACACGAAGAAAATATCTTAAATTGAGTATATTATTATTAATTTACACATGTAAAGTGCTAGAAAAACGATGTGCCGTTTGTCAGAAGGCAAACTTAAAGGTGTTAACAGTTACTTATTGCTAGCTAAGAAGTTCAATGAGTTTTTACTTGTATGTGGTTTACAAGGAAAACCGCTAAGATATATCATGCAGAGTGAGCAAATACCAATTGCATTTCGGCAAACTTTAACATTACCGTGTGTGTATCTACCCGCCAGCTCTTTTTTGTTCAGGTTTTTATTGCTGTGTTGATATCGCTCTTTGTATTTATGAATTAAAAATTGCATAATAGACAATGACATCTTTTTATATTGATGGTTTTAGGTTATCTAATCACATAGGTTTTAAACAATGCTGGAGCTTAAAAACGCATGCAGTCATTGACTACAGACATTTTAAACATTTTAACAAAAACTTTATTATTTTACAAGTTTAGTGTGTATAGTATTCAACGCGTTGATGTCTTTCGTAGCGCGTAGCGAGGCTACAACATTTTGATTTTCGATGAAATCGTTTGTAAAATAAATTGAATACTCTTCAGTTAGTTACCACGCATGTTTGAATATGCTTAAATATTACGATGATGTTATACAACTATTGTTCATCAAATGTCAAAGTACCTTCTGAAGTGTTAGCTGCTTTATCCATCACTACTGAAATCTATCCTGAATGTTTCACATGTAGGTATTGGTTTAGGAGTGGTGCATGGAGCAGAGGGTTGGAGTGACCATGAGGGTTACGGGAGCGGCGTGAGGGTGAGGGGGCGCGCTCGGGCGGCTGGTGGGCGCACGGCTATAAGTAAGAGGTGCGCGCGCGCCGGCGAAGTTAGTCGCCGAACGGCAGCGCGTCGTCAGCGGTGTCACCCGCTCCCCCCCTCCGGTGCGTTCCACCCCTACCTGCTCCCCCACACGCACTCGCCTTTCTCACACGATCACCGGCGATTCTCACTTGCGCAACCCGAGTCGAAACCGAAAGGTCGCCGCTATTGGCATTTAAGCGCTCTCTGACATTAGCGTTGCATTTAAATGTGCGATGCAGCTTCCTCGTTGAGCTTCACTGTCGCAACTTGTGTCGCTTGGGAAAGGCGCGTGTGTTGACGTGACGTCTCTGTTGCAGCAGCAGCCCGAGCAGCCGGGCCGGCGTCCGCCACACCTCCGCAGACAACATGACCGCCAGGATAGCATTGTGAGTACTTCATGCTTGTTACTGTTAATGCCATAATTACTCTTGTGTCTTGCATACAGCTATTTCCACATGATCACTTTCTAACATCGAAGCTGATAATTGTTGTAAGATAAGCGTAATAAAAGTATAAGTGGACGCAGCCGGGGCGTCTCCTGCGGCCGGTCACTTTCATATTGACTTCGATGACTTGACTTAATGCCTTCAGAAGTTATCATAGTGCTAACTCATCGACTGATATGACAAAAATTCGATCTGATTTCTCGTGTGGAAATCAGGTTTTCATTGCTCAACGGCAGCCAACTGACATCACGAATGAGGGCGCGTATTTCTCAATGAAGGCTGCGAAACATTGCTTTTAAAATATGCACGACTTTGTGCGCATATTGTCTCCCTGCAGGCGGCGCCCGCTCCACGCCAGCATTCGAACCTCGTTACTTGACTCTTATTTGCATATCGCCGTATTTCATAATCTGTAAATATCTTAATGAACCCGCTATTTCACGTCTCTTAAGGCGTGTTGCAAATAAACCGCAAATGCTAAATATCGATTGTGTTTCGTTGTTTTTGCTGCAAAAAGTTCAGCCGGTGTATTGCGGCTATAACTTTATGTCGAGCATAAGCTCGTTACGCGGTGTTTTCCTCATTTAATGATTTTCTCCAACTGCTGTTTACATAGTAATGTACGAATAAAGCTTTTCACTTGCCAGAGATATTCGATCCAAACTATTAACTATGATAGACTTATTGAGTTTAGAAATTAACAAGTCACCAGTGAAGAGATTTCACAACGTGAGAGCCTTAATACATTCACTGCTCACACCAGGCGTCATTACAGCAGGTACTGATATAAAAGGCATCAATAAAGTATCGTCGAATCAACGAGTTTCAGTGATGTAAACATCGCTAAGTGGCCGGACGAAAGACAACTTCTGTAATACTTTTAGATAAGTGTCGTGGGTGTGACGGTGCGTGTGACGAGTGTGATCTAACACGTTACACGAGCCATTGTCAAAGCTCTCTCCAGTTGCAACATGATGTTAAATGGCGTCGCGGATGCGGCACTTATACATATTAAGTCCTGCCCACCTGTCGCTGCTGTCATCGGTCAGCACCAACTTTTTGTTCACAATACACAGAAGCGTGTGATAAACGAAAGCGTTGCTAACGAACCTCCTTTGAATTTTCACCGCGTGCACAGATTCAAATCGTAAATCACAAATCAGCACTTTTTAATTGCAATGTTTAGAAAATTTTGCTAATTGTACAATTAAAGCAGAATAATCACAATATCTTCAATTTGTCCCAAAAACGGTTACGTGTCATTTTAAGCTTGTTGTAGTGGGTTTTCCCGGATCTGCCAATTCGGGTTGTAGGTACATATACAAATTAAAATTATCTTGAATTTTATCAAGGCTGTATTAAATTGGAATGATATCGACGAATTCAGTTTGCGGTTCGACGTGACCTCAGGTTACATACGTTGAATTAAATGTTAGTTTTTTATTGTAATCTTCGGTCGTTTCTAGGAATTTATTTAATAGTTGATTTCTTGACCAATAAGTTTTTGTCATTTCTTGCACGCCCTGTTGAATAGGTTAGAAGTATAAAAATTCAGTTCAGTCTTCTGCTAATGCATGCTTCTCTTAAAACTTTTGGCTCGAAATATTCAAGAAATGTAAGCAGTTCTGATAATATCTATCGACCAAAACTTTTGTAGACAAACTCAGTAGTTCTTAACTTACTTTCTAAGTTTTCAGATCTAAAACCTTTACTTTCCATTATACAAACGACCATCACACGATTTCCAAGTGATTTCGTGTATTTTTAACCATTGACGATTACAGATAGAGTTTAAGTTTTTACTTGTATCATCAGATCGTTAAAATAACAAAATTATTTGCGGTATTATAAAAAAGAAAATAAGATTTCAATCCCTTTCTCGAGTTTACAGAAGTATGTGTCAGAAGAGATTGAGTGAGTACCTTAGTTTGCATGTTGGGCCGCGAAGGGTCGATCGTTGACCTTTTTCCTTGTCATTTCATTTAGTACCTGCACAAAAATATGATTTATAATTAGAAATGAGGCTGGTCATGCTTTTATTAGGCAATTTTATAAATGAACAGTGATAAGAGCTCCAAATTTAATGATATTCTTTAGTCTATCGAAGTCGATGCTAGGAGTATTTCTAGCTTGAACTACGCTTGTTGTCTACGGTGGCGCCAACAGGTGCAAAACCAAATTATAGTACAAAAACAAATAAGTAACTGTTCAAACCACAAATGGAGTTATGATAAATGCTTTTAACATAATTTCTTCGACTAAAAGCAAGGTCGAGTTGGTCGTAAAGTTCTTGTATTGCGTTTTAAGTGATCACGAAATACTTTTATTGCGTAGATATTGAAAGCGAAACAAAATAGTTTAAGATTTTATTTATGAGATACAAACAAATAAACACGAATGATAAATATGTGAAATGCAGCTTGAGAATGCCAAAATAACAAAGCCAAAATACTTAATAAATTTAAAGTACCGGATTCTTTCAAGATGGAACTAATTAGCAACACCATTCTTCGCATAGAAACATTGAAATGGAGTTCAACAATAGTTCTCACAGTTTACAAACATTACACATTCCTAGATTTACGAAATTATCATCTGTATAAAACAATCGTCTTTTCTTTTACGCAACAATAATAATATCTAACGTGCATTTAATGATTTATGTAATAGTATGTTTAATTGTACAACAGATAATGGTCATTGTTTGAAGGAAAGCAATTTGAGCATTTAATCTGCGTGTCCCATGTTACGTGTGTGGTGAGACAATCGCTTTATTATTTGCCTCAACTTCCTAATTAGGTAATATAAAACATTCCTAGATTACTTTCTCTATTAAAAAACTAACGTAACATATCGTATCCAATGCTAAAATCGTTTTAGTGTTTTCTTAGTGAATACAAATTAGAATGGGAATTTCTCCTTACTAAAAGATTTTCGATACGTCGGCGATGTGTTAAAAGAAAGTCCATAAAACGTGACGATCGGTGTTTACGTCGCGTTCCGAGTTATGTCTGTTACATTTCAATAGGTAATCATTGGCTCGATGGTCCGCAGGCCGCGGCCGTCAAGCAGCGTGCGGCGCCCGCGCCGTCACATAATAAAGATGTTTGTGACTTTGTGGTCACGCTCCTCCTAACTGAGAATACTTGATTGCCTATAACAAGTTTGTTAAACTTTTATCACGACTGTATACAAATTTCTATTTCGCATTACAATTTCGCTGCAGTTTGATCTTTAAACCTAATTTTCTCGAAATTTATCCAATATCGTGAGTGTGAACAGAAATTGCATGATATCTCATTAATTATGTATAATGCTGGCCTTCAAATTAGTATGCATTTAGTGACGATAGCTTAAAGAAGCTTTTGTTACGATTGACTCATCCACACCCAGGCGAAGCCCACGTCAACCTAGACCTAATTATGAAATTAATTAGTTATTGTTGTTATAATTAGATACGTTCTAAAATAGATGAGAATCTAATAGGTTACTGGCATTCACATCCTATATGTTAATAGTTCATGGCCGTGAAGCTGTTTCTGATTACTTTTTAATTCAGATGTTAAGTCATTAAGAGACACGCGATATACGATTCTAAATTCTTGTTTAACGCCTATATTACGAGTCGGTACAGTTGCTACTTGATCGGAGAATGGGTCACTATTATTATTTGGAGACACGTTGAAGGTCGATCACATACGTCATTTTATTTCGTGTGAACTGTTTCTGTAGATCTTGTACTAACATTACTCATGTACTTAGGTAGATACAATATTTTATGTTCTGAATTAGATGTTTCAGTCTTAATCCCAAGGTAAAGTTTATAGCTATTTTCCTTAGAAAACTTTCAACTCTCGATTCCAATTTCACGATTAACATTTGACACCGGTTCATACAGCTTGTCGCCAATGAAGAATGTAATATAAGTATTTTATATACGACAGGTGTGACAGCGTTGTTATGTAAAAGCTTCGCTCATAACTATAATTCTAATTGATGACGTACAATCAGTGTTCTTACATAAAACACTTACAAGTCTCATGATAGTGGTAGAATGTAATGTATAAATGGACATACCCTTTCATCATAGGTATGCTAGACTTAGAATCAAAGCCATAGTTCATGTTGTTCTATTGTCTCTGCGCTTGCTCTCATTGTCCGGCGCATTGCTCAACAACTAATTTGTCTTTTGTCTCTACCAGCTCAATACTTGTACAATTGTTGTTACAATTCAAGATAAACAATAGTTATTTATCTAGGAAATATTAGGAACATTTTTATAATTGTGTTTTATCTAGCACGCGTCCCAAAGTCTCCTTTGTTATGGAAGAATTATTCGTCGTGAGCATTGAATTATTCATTTCGGAATTCGTTGTTAAGACATGTGTGAAAGAAAAACATTTCCGATTTAAACAAATATTACCTAGTATTATTAATTGCTATGCATGCAAATGTTTCCTCAATTTATATCATTTATGGTGATTAATAGTGTCCATAAATATGTAGGTACATTATTCATGGACCAGCTAAGCGTAAAAGCGTTCTATTGTTACAGTACACTATAGTGTTTTATTGTTTTAAATATACTGTCAGCACTTCCACGTTTCACTGCACTATAATAGAACACACGCATGTACAGTGTACTGACTTTTTACTGACTATTGTTTTATAGGTCTCGTGTAATAAAGATAATCTTATTACTAGAAAAGTGACGTCATTCCAACAGCTTGTAAAACAGACTTTTTTAAAAGAGTAATGAATGGAGTTTCTTGCTCGGTCTTCTACACTCGAATCTACATTTTGGAACGAGCGCCTAGCTTCACTGACGGACAGACTAACAGACTATTACCTATTTATTTTATATCTGTTGAAATTCCAAAAATACCAAATTATGGTTTAATTGTAATAATACATGCTTTTGAGTTTGCTTCTAGAGTAGA